CACCGCCGCCGCCGCCGCCTCCAGGATCCGGATTCGCGGGACCGCCGCGGCCGCCGCCGCCTCCGGGATCCGGATTCGGAGGTCCGCCGCCGCCACCACCGCCGCCTATGCCTGGAGCGCACACGGGCCCTGCCCCACCGCCGATGCCTCCACCGATCCTGCCTGGATTCGCCGCCCCGAACGCGACACAGTCGCTACCCTTGGGCCTGAAACCGAAGAAGAAGTGGGAGGTCGAGGCGCCGTTGAAGAGGGCGAACTGGAAGGCGGTAAGTCGACGGGTCGACGATCCAGACCCGCTCGAGTATTCTCGATTTCTCTTGATCCGTTACATACGAATGTGTATTTCCGTGCATCTCTCTATACTAGATTCTGCCGCACAAGCTCACCGAAAAGTCGTTTTGGACCAAAGTGCAAGAGGATCGATTGGCGAGCCCCGAAATATTGAACGGTTTGACTCAAAAGTTTGCGTCGAAACCCAGCGGGAAAAAGATCGACGACGTCGTGGACAAGTAATTTGTATTACCGTATAATAGATATCGAATGAGTGGTCCGACTAAACCTTATTCAACGAAATCCGTCTCGTGTGCAAGCAGGTCAGCACCCTCGAAGAAGACGAAGGATTTGAAGGTTCTAGATGGAAAGGCCGCGCAGAACATTCTGATCCTCCTCGGCGGTACCTTGAAGCACATGTCCTACGATCAAGTGAAATCGTGTTTACTCAAGTGCGAGGGTCCCGTTGTGTCGGACAACATCCTTCAAGGGTTGATACAGTACTTGCCGCCACCGGATCAGCTCTCGAAACTGCAGGTTTACAAGAACCAATACGAGGAATTGACGGAGGCCGAGCAATTTTGCGTTACCGTGAGTACTACTTTTCCCGAATGTTTCGCGAGATCCTTTCGAACCGCAAACGATCGGCAGTGACAGTTGGATGGTCCGCGGTTCGACAGATATCGACGATCAAGAGATTATTGCCGAGGTTGAGGTCGTTGAGTTTCATGCTGCGATTCGAGGAATTGGTGCAAGACGTAAAACCGGACATCGTGGCTGGTACGGCGGCTTGCGAGGAGGTGAAGGCCAGCAAAAAGTTTGCGAAAATCCTCGAACTGATCTTGCTGCTGGGCAATTATATGAATTCCGGATCTAAAAACGGCCAAGCTTTCGGTTTCGAGATCAGTTTCCTGACAAAGGTTCGTTCCCATTCGTCGCGAACTAAAGCCGAGATCGCGAGATCTAGGTTTCGTTCTCTGTCGCTTCGCTTCGCTTCACTTTACGTTGCTGCGTTTTCATTTTTAGTTGACCAGTACGAAAGACGTCGAGAACAAACAGACGTTGATGCACTATTTGGTGGACACCTTGGAACAAAAGTTCCCCGAGTGTCTCAGTTTTGCGGAAGAATTGGCGCACGTGGACAGAGCTAGCCGGGTATCGCTGGAGAACGTTCAGAGAACGTTGCGACAAATGGATTCCAACATCCGAAATTTAGAGCAAGATCTGTCGAACGCTAAAGTTCCTCAATCGGACGAGGATATGTTTATCGAAGTTATGGGCGTATCCTTTTTCACTCTTGTCAATGGCCAAGTTGACCTTCATTCGTAATCACGATAGAATTTCTCACTGTTTTCCTTGACCGCGTCAAACTACAGCCGTTTGCGAAGAAAGCTCGAGAGTCTTACGAAGTGATGCAGAATATGTTCAAAAACATGGACAGCCTGTACACCGATATTTCCGAATTTTTCTCCTTCGACAAGCAAAAGTACACGATAGAGGAGTTCTTTGGCGATATTAAAACATTCAAAGATGATTTCACGGTAAGTGTGTACGATAATAAGGACTGCGCGTTTAAATGCGAGATGAATGGATTTGGACATGGAAGTGGAAATGGAAATGCAAATGCAAATGCGAATGGAAATGGAAACGAAAATGAGAATGAAAATGGAAATGCAAATGAAAACGAAAGTGGAGGTGGAAGTGGAAGTGGAAGTGGAAATGGAAATGGAAATGGAAATGGAAATGGAAGGAGGAGTAGAAAGCGAGAAATGATTTGGTAGATGAAAAAGGAGAAAGGAGACATAAACCTGATGATATTCGTTGGTTATTTTTCAGCAAGCGCAACGAGAAATAATCAAGTTGAGGGAAGGAGAGGAAAAGCAGAGGAGGGCTAGGGAAGCGCGGGAAAAAGCGGAAGCCGAGAAAGCGGCGCGAGCAGCTCGGAAGCGCGCGCTCGTCGACATGAATGCTCACGAAACACAGGAAGGCGTTATGGACAGCTTGATGGAGGCTCTGCAAACTGGTTCCGCGTTCAGTAGACCGGATCAACGTCGCAAACGGCAAGCACGCGCCGCTGGTGGTAAGTTTTATAGGACTACGTACGCTTCGACGAAAACTGCGAAGAAGGAGACCGCGCGACAACGAAGGCCAGCCTTGTTCGCCAAGTTGTACGATTCGAGAGAGGCGGTGCCAAACCACGCACCGTTGCGGAATCGGAGCGATTCGACGATGCGAATACGAACTCGAACCCGAACTATCGCGACCGCTATTTTCTCCCGTGTTCCGACGTTCACGATTTTCGACCCATCCGACGCGAACGTCCAGCTCTATACGCCCGAGGAGAATCAAGCTTTCGGTCGACAAGTGTTGCTCGACGCCGCAGCGAGAATGCCGAGACGGGAGACGTACATGTCCAGAATCAGTTCCTTTAAGAGGAACAGGCAAAACGAAATCGCGAACAAGCGGATTCGTTTCGATCGCCGGCCAGAAATCGAACAGACTCCGAGGAGAGACGTTCCTGTGCGGACCTCTGGAAACTTTGACGAAAACGAAAACTCTTCGTTTTCGCCGGAACTCGTTCGACCGAACATTGCCGACATCCAGCAATTCGAAGATTCCATCCGGTGCCTCTTCCCCGCGAGAGCGCGACGAAATTGCGAGAACGAGGACGCCATCGCAACCTATCGATCCGTCGTTGACGAACTGGAAAGATATCCTGGTTCGCTCGGTAGGGGACGCGATTCGTCTCTGCCTCCGCTATCGCCGCTGTTGCCGTCCTCGTCGTCGTTGTCGTCGTTCCACAGAACAGTTTTGATCGGCGAGGCCATGAAATTGACTCCGGTTAAGCGAAAACGAGTGATAGTCAGCAAGAAGCGGAAAAGGAACAGCATCGTGCGCCGTACCGTTCGCGGGCGCAGACTGAAGCATTTTAGGTACAGACTCGCCGGTAAATCGCAGAAATGGACGAATCGGTTGGGCAGCCCGGCGAGCGAGTGTGCCTCGCTACCCGATCATCGTTCCACCGACGCCTCGTCGTTTTCGCTCGCGTCCAAGGACCCGCCGGACGAAACCTCGAAATCGGTCGACACACTTGTCGCAGCGATTCCGACGCAATTCGGATCGCTCGTTCGAGCGAAACGTTTCGACGACATCGCCGGTTGCAAGGACGAGAACGAACAAGATGCAACGGTGGAGAGTGGATTTTCCGGTCGAACGATTTCACCCCACTCTCCCGAGATTCGAGCAGACGTCGAGCATCGGGACGAAGAATACGAAGCGGAAGCATCGACGAATAATTATGGTCGCGTAACCTGTCGGAGAGGGAAGCGAAGGGACCCGATGTCGTCGAACGAACGAGACCGCGATATCGCGTCGATCCTCGGAACTGTTCAAAGCTGGCAAACCTTCCCAAACAGAAAGAGACAAAAGGGAGAAAGGGAGAAAAAGACGTGGAAATTCTGGTAGTCCGACGACGCGTTCTAGAACTCGATATTCGAGTACCGAAATGTCTTTGGTCGATGCGTCATCCCCAGCACCGCGTTATCCTTATCGCGTTCTCGAATCAATCTATTTACGGTCGGGTTTGATCAGATGAAACTTTAATGTGGACCATACGACTTAAACTATACGACGAATACGACGAATCGGGCCCCGCGCGTTACTTGTATCGCCATCACCTTTCAAACAACTTTTCGATCGAATTTATCCAAGACGAAAGAAGGGGCAAGTCGGTCGGTTCGATGATAACGAGCGTACCGTTTCAGCGTTAGCTTTTACAAAGAGAAACAAGAGCTGTGCGTTACGTACGCATCGAAATTTGTATGAATCGTTTGTAATTTGACTCGTTGTTGTAAATACCGTTAATTATCGAGTTTAATAAAGATATTTTTGTGCACTGCTGATCAATACGTAAACTATTTTGCGGCGACGATAGACGGTTTAAGAAAAGTAAGGGAAATTGGACGGGGCGACGACGCGCGGCTCCGTCGCGTAGAATAATTTGCCAAGATTTCATTGTTCGGGAAGAGTGTGTAAACAAGGTAAACGTTTCTTTTTACTTTTGCAGCGGAGAGAAGGGCTCAACTTAATAGAAGTCGTTCGCGAACAGGATTAGTGGGGACCGGCTTACTGGGAAGAGAACTTTCGACGTAAGTATTTCGACGGAATCGCTACTAGGATTACGCGTAACTTCCGCGTGTACCGCGTTATCGGTAGAAAGTCCGAGTAGTCTGTCCAACCGGACAGAAACGGAGCTGCGATACACGGGCTGTAGTGGAGCTCTAGTACCGGCGAGTAGATTCTCGCGTAGAATAATACCTGTGTGTAATCGTGATTGTTGCAGAGAACTTTTAAGCTCGGCATAATCCATGGGATTACCTGTTTCCGTCCTAAACTCGAAACTGTGATGGATCGAATGGTCGTTTATCGTTCGTTCGAAGCGCCTGCGAAACGCGTGCGAAACGATACGCCTGTAGAAAAGAGAATACAGAGACGCGCATACTTTTCCAAGGTGAGAGAAGTCGAGGATCGTTCAGTCTTGTCGGACAAAGTCTTCCCTCTGGCTATTTCAGCGCGAATACTCGAACGACCTTTTAGCGGCACTTTAGCGCCACTTTAGCGTCACTTTAGCGTCATTTTAGCGGCATTGTAGCGATGCGAGACCATTCGACGGACCTTTTCGAAAAGAAAGGTGGCGACAGCAAGTAAGTTTTGTACATTTTGTACATTGTTTAGCAAACGCATCGTTTTCTTCCACCTTCCATCTCTCTCTCTCTCTCTCTCTTTCTGTTAAGACTAGAATCGTTGGTTGGGCGCGATCGCGAAACGATGTATATAGATAAATATATTGATCTAAATTGGTACACGTCTGTATGTACATGCGTATGTATAAATACTAGCACGAATAATCGACGAGACCCGCGAGAGGCGTGGCACGAGTCGCATTTTACATTTTACATTTTACATGGTACGTTTTACGGTACAGCGACTGCGCGCGTTCGATTCGTACGGCTTCTTTTCGACGACGCGTTCGCGCGCCTGCGAATCGATCTCGAACAGGCACGCGCGCACACGCGACAACCTTTCGTCTTCCGAAAGATCCGGATCCGTGTGAAATTCGGAAACGCTCGTACCGATCGGACCACCGAACCGAAGCGTTTGGAATTGCGACTGGAACCAGTGTATCCGAAGAGGTCACGCGGTTCGTTATTTGCGACGGGATCAATTATTCTTTCGATTTTAAAGATCGACGACTGTTTATATTGTATGTAATAACGTTGAGTTTAACAAAGAATTGTATCTATATTGTGAATATGTGATTTTAGATAGCAACAATACATTGCGACCTTTACAATCGACCGTATCGTCTTTCATTTAACAATAGCAAGCCTAAAACTATTATCGGTTCGTACGATCGAATCGAGTTTATTTATTCGTCTTCCTTCCAACCGTTTATCCGTCTATGCATCGTTCGGGGTTTTTCCGAGACTTCCTCGAACTCGAAGAAGCTTCGAGCGATTGAAATACTATGGAAAATTCCATATAGAAAGATGGAATAGGGGGACGCGTTTCGAACAGCCTTCCGTCGAACGTGCCCCGCGGTTCCGATGGAACGGTGCCGGCAGCCGAACGGTTTCGATAATTCCGACGAGACGCGACGCGATACACGGATGCAGACTCGTCGCAAAGATTCCGTTGAAGCGATAGAAAGTTGGCGGATCGATAGGAACGGTCGGCTCGCCGCGCGGCGATCCCGAAGCCCCGCAACGGTTCCATCGATGCCGAGGGGACACGCTCGTTCTGGTTCGTAGCGGCACACCTGCGACGGATC